CCGCCCCCTCGGAGGAAGCCCCCCCCGCCCCTCGCCCCGGGGTTCGCTCTTTGTGGTGACGTTGGAGTTGCGGGGTTCGCGCTTAGCCGCTGCGTCCGGGGGGCCGTGTTGGGGGAGACCCCGACGCCCCCGCCCCCCGGGTCGGAACGCGGACTGGATACACTGGAGTTTTTCTTGGACTAGTTAGAAACGGAGATGAAATTCCTATCTCCGAAAATAGCTGGTCCGCTAGTGTGGGGGAGATGTTTGGAAATCGATGCCTCTCTCTCCAGAAGTGGACACGGTTGCTTGCCGTTGCTGAGGGGAAGTGCGCGTCGGTTGGAGCCAGAGGCCTGCAGAAGTTGTGCGGGGATCGGGGCCCAGGGCTTAGTTCTGGAAGAGAAGGGCGGGCGCGGACTGGTAGCCGTGGAGCTTTGTGTCGTGCGTTAGGGACCCTGAATGTGAAGAGTGCGTTTGCCTCAGTGGGGATCTCTTCTGAAACTAGGCAACTTGAGTAAGTTCTCGGTAGCCCAAATGTGTGCCGTCGCTTCCTGGGAGTGAGTTGTCCTCCATGTTGGTATTGTGGTGCAACTAGGGCTGGGGTAAACCCTTTATCCACTCTCTTATCCCGTGCCTTTTGGAGGGCTCTTTTCCTAAATAGGTAGTGTTGCTCTGCTTAGGTTTGGCTACTCGTTTCCTTATCTTGGCCAGAATATTAATTGTAAGTCCTACAAAACGTGTGATCTTTCTGTCTTTCCCCATTCTGAATGTCTGACAGACATGATGGCCACCATTTTGTATTGAGAGAGGTACATACCACAGCCCGAGAAAGGGTGTTAAAGAGGCACAAATAAACACTCCACAAACATAACTAGTGCTGTGTTCTGGAGATCTCCTTTGTGTGGAGGAGGCTTGCTTCCTCCTTTGTTTAAGAAACTCCTGTGCCAATTGGAAAGAGTTTGGGAGTATTTATTGTTGATACAACCACAAATGAGAGAAACCTTTCCAGAAGTTGTAGCTCTTGAAGGGTCTTGTTGGAACAAAGGATTATTAAGAGATGAGGATGTAAGCAATGGTTGTTTTAGAAACCGTTTTCTGTGAACAAGTGGTTTCGTATAGTTGAAATAAACCAACAACAAACCAAGAGATAGGAAATGTTTTCCATGGTGATAGCTGTATAATGCCTGTGTTTCTAGATGATTATGACAACTAAGTTTTTGGAATACAAGTGACTGTTAAAATGGGGATTGGGTTTATTGGTATTTTACTTTTCAAAGTAAGGGGAAGAATTACAAAGTATTTATTTCTTTTTGTCCTTAACCTTTGCATCTTTAATTAATGGTACTTAAGGTAGCTTCAGTTTATAGCTGCTTCTCAGTGATGGTCCTAAACTACCTGGCTATTGAAAATTTGAGGTTCACAGAAATTTGTTTGAAATATAGTAAGATAAATGTGACAAAAGGTAATAAATCAAAAAGACATTACTCAAATACTGAGATACAGTTTAAAGATGGAAGTAAACCTTTTTTCAAATTACATAAGTGTCTGGCTTCCTGGACTTTTCTTCAATTTACAAGTAATCTGACTTTTTGTTTTATTACTCTTAAAATGCAAATTTTCATTTCCTCCTTGATGTACTTAGATTTCTTTTTAAGGAAAAATTGTGTTTTCCATGTCACTTTCTGGTATTTGGAGATGATTAATTTTAGGGGTGTAATTATTAGGCAAAAAATAGTTGGCTGGTCAGAGGATTTCTGAGTCTCCTGAGCTTGATTGGACGATGTTTGATGTCTTCAGTAAGCTACTCTGTTATTCTCAAACATACATCATTTGGCCATAGCTAGGCAGATTCCACAAATTTCTTCTCTGGTGGTATCCAGAAGTCAGAGATTTAAGTCAAACCCCAAATGGCACAGTAGACACAT